TCTTTATGTTAAGAAATTTGTATTTTTCTGGAGTTGATATAAAGATGTTTAAATTCAATGCTTTTTGTCTATTTTATTTGTAGGCAATTATTTATATTTGTTTCTCAGACAGAAACACAACATTGCAAAAGATTGTTCATTTTCTCATGTATTTACTGGAGTACTGCATGTGTTCTTAAATTGTCTAAGGAATTTCATCTTTAAATGAGCTTTGTTGGACATTCATGTTCTGCCTCCTCTATAAATATGTGTACCTGTGGTGGTAAATTTGCCAGCTCTTCTTAATAGAGGGTCCTACCATACGGCTTATCAGGACCACAGGAAGTACCCACTGCGAGGCAGATTGGGGAACATTTGGTCTGTCATTCAGCCATGCAGCAACAGAATGATGAAATTCTTCCTATATTTACCCTGAAAAATTAATGGTGGTTATTTTATTCACCAAATGAAATATGCAGGAAAGTAAGGCAAACATTCTTAGGCACTTCAAAAAACTCAAGACTTAAATGCTCCATTTACTCCCACAATTAGCATCTCATTGGACCCAAGTCTAAGTCCCTTTCTTGGACACCAGATGTCACCAATGTCTTCTGTTTTGCGTTTGTGTGGAGCATTATGGAGTAGGGATATAAGTATTTGATATCATTTTATTTGGGGAATTTTGCTGATTTCCAAAGAAATTAAGTTTGTTAATCCTATGGGTGTTCTAATTTTAAGAGTGACAGATTTAATAAAACGTCTAGAAAAACATCTAAAACATATTTTTATGCAGAAAACTAGGAAAATTTCTTCTAAACCAGTCTCTTCATCATCACAAGAGGACCAAAGAATTATCTGAGGTCACCAAGAAAAGCGAGCATCTCATGGTTTTAAAGTAAGTGGGATAGTTACATCTATAGAAGAATAGATTAATCGGAGGCTTCTGTCAACTTCAAAAGAATTAATTTCTATTTACTCTTCCCACTTCAGTTCAAATGTCCTATTTCATCTCAAGATTTTTTTTATTTTTTAGAATTGTATATAGATTTTGTTTGTAGCCATAACAATCATATATCTGATTAAATATAGAAATGCAAGTTTAACCACCATTAACACATGATCGGCATATACACTACCGTTCAAAAGTTTGGGGTCACATTGAAATGTTATTATTTTTGAAGGAAAAGCACTGTACTTTTCAATGAAGATAACTTTAAACTAGTCTTAATTTTAAAGAAGTAGACTTTATATTGCTAATGTGGTAAATGACTATTCTAGCTGCAAATGTCTGTTTTTTGGTGCAATATCTACAGAGGTGTATAGAGGCCCATTTCCAGCAACTATCACTCCAGTGTCCTAATGGTACAATGTGTTTGCTCATTGGCTCAGAAGGCTAATTGATGATTAGAAAACCCTTGTGCAATCATGTTCACACATCTGAAAATGGTTTAGCTCGTTACAGAAGCTACAAAACTGACCTTCCTTTGAGCAGATTGAGTTTCTGGAGCATCACATTTGTGGGGTCAATTAAATGCTCAAAATGGCCAGAAAAAGAGAACTTTCATCTGAAACTCGACAGTCTATTCTTGTTCTTAGAAATGAAGGCTATTCCATGTGAGAAATTGCTAAGAAATTGAAGAATTCCTACAATGGTGTGTACTGGGGAGGCCGTGTTGCACAACTGAGCAAGAAGATAAGTACATTAGAGTCTCTAGTTTGAGAAACAAACGCCTCACAGGTCCCCAACTGGCATCTTCATTAAATAGTACCCGCAAAATATCAGTGTCAACATCTACAGTGTAGAGGCGCCTGCGGGATTCAGGGCAGAGTGGCAAAGAAAAAGCCATATCTGAGACTGGCCAATAAAAGAAAAAGATTAAGATGGGCAAAAGAACACAGATATTGGACAGAGGAAGACAGAGGAAGCCAAGTTTGAGGTCTTTGGATCACAAAGAAGAATGTTTGTGAGACGCAGAACAAATGAAAAGATGCTGGAAGAATGCCTGACGCCATCTGTTAAGCATGGTGGAGGTAATGTGATGGTCTGGGGTTGCTTTGGTGCGGGTAAGGTGGGAGATTTGTACAGGGTAAAAGGGATTCTGAATAAGGAAGGCTATCACTCCATTTTGCAACGCCATGCTATACCCAGTGGAGAGTGCTTGATTGGAGCCAATTTCATTCTACAACAGGACAATGACCCTAAACACACCTCCAAATTGTGCAAGAACTATTTAGAGCAGAAGCAGGCAGCTGGTATTCTATCGGTAATGGAGTGGCCAGCGCAGTCACCAGATCTGAACCCCATTGAGCTGTCTCAATGCACACATGGTTCCCCACCTACCTTTGCATAGAATGTGAAAATGTAGGGATGCTTTTTCAGAGACATAACATGGTCCTAGAATAAATTAGCTCAGTGTATGTATATAGTTAAAATTCACAGGAAACCGTATTTCAGATAACCTTATCACACAAATTTATCCACGATATACAGTCATATTCAGTTCTTTGGAATGTTATTGAAAAGTAAGTTTCAGCATCATATCAGAAAAGGAAATGGGTCTAAGTGGCCAGTCGGTTTCTGAGCCAACGTATATCATCATAATACATTTATTTTGTATTATGTCATCAGCACAGGGACCATAACAGTTCTGCCCCCTGTTCGCCGCTATTTTGATGACATCTTCATTAGAGCTTTCCTCAAAGTAAGAGACATCTGACTCGATATACTGGGGTACATAGAAAAATGACAGACCTTACTTTTATGTGTAATTTGCAATTTTTTAACCAATCTGTAGTGCTCATATTCTGCATACACATCGTAGCCTCAGGGTTATAATGACTAAGTTTCACTAAAACCCAAATTAAAAAGCAGCTAAATTGAACTTGAATCCTCAATACTAGAACTACATGTACATCTTGACGATAACCGACAAACTACTTTGTCTAATAGTCGTAGCTATTTCCTGGATTTGGAACTAGCCCAAGTTTCATCTCCGGGGTAGAACTTTGGCTTGATGGTTTTCCCCTTTCGGAAAATGTAACTAGAAAAATATGCAATTTTAATAACAAGGGTACTCGTATGTTCAGCAAATTTTCCCTTAAATTGTGGCCTATAGATAAAACTCGCACAAGATCTGGATCATTACCAGATTTAAAATAATTGTTTCTTGGCATGAGGCTTACCTCTAGTAAAACAAAATCCATAAAATCAGTTCATAAGTTTTCAATTGATCCTGCTAGCAAACCAAGAACGTTCACTTTTCTTGTGTTTTTTGTCTTTAGTAAAAACACCTCAATGCTTTTTGAGCCTGATGCTGAGGCTGTCAATAGTCACTGCTGCCGCCCTCTGGTTTAGTGGTGAACTTCTTGATCCGCCAAATATCGCTATCTCACAGTGTTAGAAAATCTTTTAAGAAAATGCTGTATCCAGATAATATCTGGACCAAACCCTTAGCAAAAAGTATTTTATTCAAGTATACTAAAAGTGCACTAATTTCATACTTAAAATCAGGCAGTGCACTTAGAGTTTATTTATTCTAAACTATATTTCATATACTTAACAATAGTATAATCAAGTGTACTTGACTTACACTGAGAAGGATAAAAAGTGTTTACTAAAGTATACTTTAAGTATACTTTAGTAAACTTAAAAATGTCCCGATTTAGTATACTTCAAATATACTACTTTTTGCCAAGGGAAATGTAATGGATTATTTCTTGGCACGAGGGACACCTCTGATAAAAAATGTCATTAAAATCTGTCCATAACTTTTCAAGTTATCCTGTAGACAGACAGACAGACAGACACAAACTCTGCTAAAAACATACATTCCTTGGCATAGATACTAATTTTCAGTCAGGGTTCAGAAGTGGCCATAGCAGTTTAATTCAGTTTATTTATATGGCACCAATTCACAACACATGTCATCTCAAGGCACTTTACAGAGTCAATTCAACCAGATCATACAGTCAGATTGTTTCCAAGTTTTCTACCAAAAGAAAACCAGCTGATGGCATCGACTCGTTGACTTGAAAGCAATCCCTCACACCAAGCATAACATGAACAAACTTCCACCAGAAGCAGGCTCAGTGTGAGCGACCATCTGCTGAGACCGACTGGGGTTCAAGGAGACAGAAGCAGACATAAAGAATCATAGATTGTAACAAAGATAGTAACTGTCAACCAGTTACACAGGCAGCCCTGTCCAGGAAACACAGCAAGGCAGACAAGCTCCGAGCCAGCTCCCCCGGAGGATCTTCATTTATGAATTTAAAACCACTGTAAAAAATGTTATGATGGAGACATGTTCTTATTTTTCTTAAGGATCTTGTTTTTGTTTTTTTGTTGTTGTTTTTTTTTAAAGATATTTGCTACTTCTTTTATCATGAAAATGTAACTTGATGTTTATTTTGATGTTTATTATGTATGCAATTGCTAAAATCTGGCTGCTACCTTTTAATAAAAATACAAGATATATACAACAGAAAATAAACAAAATCTTCACAAACTGCTGTTTTCCCTTCCCGATGAGGAAAGTTCACCTGTAATCTGGCTTGTCTCACTTTCACTAGAAAATAAATGTTGAATGTGAACTATGGGTCTAAAGTCCAACCCCTGCTTGAGGTAAAAACTAAACAGAAAAAGGTAGGACTCTCATGCAAACAGCCACACTCCCTGTCCTGTACAATGTCTTCATGATAGATATGTTTTTGAAAAATTGTGGCTTTAAAAAACATCTAAGCAGAGTTATAACTTAGGCCATAACTGAGAACTTTACCTAATTTGATTTCATGGAAAACATGAAGTATTCTAGACTCTAGATTTCTCAAAAACATAACCGTAAAGAGGGCACAATCCACCTCTTTTTCTAAACATATTTTTTTGTTTGTTTGTTGTTGTTTTAAAGGTTTTCCTATCCAATATTTTAACCTATGAAGAATCTCTGCGAAGAGAAGGTGCTTTAAAGACTCCTGGATCACATGATCCCACAGCAATTTCCTGTAATTGTCTCTGCACTGTAGGTGGACAAAGTAGTGGCGTCCACAGTGGAGCAGAGGTCACAACAGTCTGGTTAGTAAATCAGTGAAGTAGACACAGCTTACCATGTGTGCTGCGGCTCTGGAAGAATACTGCGGGTCTGTCTTTTGGGTAAGTTTAACCCCCAGATTTGATGCTTAAAAGTGTAGGGATTTGCTTTTTTTTTTTTTTTTTTTTTTTTTTTTTTTACCTCAAAATAAATCACATGCAGTCTTTCATTAGTTCTTTCCAGGTAATATCAGGTTGGGAAAAACCTGGCACATTTTAAACATGTTATTTACTACTGTGTTGCCATTGTTTAAATGTATAAACTCAAATACATTTTCTCAAGCACAAGCTTAGTCAACAGTTTTTTTAGGCTCTTCAGATTAGTGTTTTAGGTCTTTTAACGTTTAAGACACCTACGGCCTAATATTCAAAGTTTCTAAAACAGAAACGGCTAAATTGTATGTGCAGTTTCCTTTAGTGTGTGCAATAAGTGGGCATGTTACTGGTTATCTACAAAGATTGCTGTGCTAATGTTAAGACGTGAAAACTAATTTGGTTCAAATTATTAAAATGAGCAGATTCTGAGTGCTACAGGCAGATAAGAAAGGTAAGGTTAAAAGCATCAGGGATGGAGGTATAAATGATTATTATTGAAAGAAATAATATTGAAAACAATAAATAATATTTGTAGTGGGCCTGAAATAGTTTGCCTATCTTAAAGTGCTAAAGAAAAAAGTGATGTACTGCATTTGCACCCCTAAGCCACAGCAGACAAGCTTCTTGTCATGTTCACCAACTGTAGCAATCATTTCTCATCTGTAATAATAAAAGGCATTTATCTAAGGAAATAGCAAACTTATTCTGAACATTTTTTAAAAATAACTTAATGGGTTTATTATTGGCTCATATTATCGATGAACTGGAACTGTCCTCAGATTGGATTTCAGAAATCTGTTCACCTTATTTAAACATTAGTTTGACATTAACGTTTGTGTTTTTTGTTTTTTTTTGGTAATTCTCTCATTAAATGTTATAGCTAGAATATGACTGACTTCATTTAGGAATATGTCTATGTTTGTGAATAAAAAAGCAGTTCCATCCAAAAATACAATTTAAATATAAACATTGTTGAAACACCTCTTTTTTACTAACATTAACATAACTATAATTGGCTGTAAGTCATTGTTTCTGAAGGTGATCTTAGCATTTCTAAAATGTTGTGAAATTATTTTGATGCATGCATATATGGTTGTGTTTGAACCCCAGAATGCATCCTATTTGGACAGAGATGACCCAGATCTGCCAATCTGTGTGGAACAGACAGTTCTGGTCTGGATCCCTCTAGGGTTCATGTGGCTCTGTGCTCCATGGAACCTCATGCCTCTATGCAGAAGATCACAAGTAAATAAAAAACATTGGACTAAGCTCTACTTCTGCAAACAGGTATTGCATAATTAAAACACTCCTATTATTTTTAATACGTGATGCTTAGGTGGAAGCATTTTAACAATCAGTCTGAATTTTTCCCTCCTCTTTTCAGCTTGTGGTGATTTTGTTGTTCCTAACGGCCATTGGAGGCCTGACTGTCACGTTAGTAGAGGATTTTGGTCCAAACAGTTCAGGAGAGAAAAGTCCAGCTGTATACTACACAAACCCGGTCCTATTTGCTGTCACATGGGTAAAGTTTAGGTTTTATATTCAAATATTGATCAAATATGTCCAAGATGTGAATATTATTCATTGTTATTGTGTTTTTTATGTTTTACCTTTTAAGATCCTTCTGCTGTTGTGTCAGGAAGGATTGAGGAGAAAGGAAAGAGCAGTAGATTCTGCTTCTCTTTTCATTTTCTGGCTTCTCCTTGTTCTGTGTGACATTTTCCCTTTCCAGACCCTCCTACGGGAAGCTCTTAGGCTGGTATGAGAGTCTAAACAATAGATCAGAAAACTCTCTCTGTGTTTAAATGACACACTATTAAACAGACCATTTTTCCCCCTCCCTTAAACATCTCTTCACACCCAGGGAGAGGTCAGAGATATTCCTCGTTTCTCTCTTTTCTACATTTCCTTTGGACTGGAGGTGATTGCATTCATTCTCTCTGCTGTGGCAGACATCCCTCAAGATGCAAAGGAGCTTGTAAAAAAGGTCATTTTTATGTTATTTTTGCCTCGAAATAGTCCAATGTATACTGGAAAGAACTCTTCTTCCTTAGTAGCTATATATATATCTTTAGTTATTTATGTTGTAGAATCCAGAGGCAGGGGCAACATTCATGAGCAGAATCACTTTCAACTGGTTCAACAGGTAAATCAACACCCACCACAAAAATAAATAAATAAATAAATAAATAAATAAATAAAGTGAAAAGTTGATTTTGTGCTGCAATCCAAGGCTTCTTCTTGATCTTCCAGCATGGTGTTGAAGGGCTATCAATCCCCCCTGGTTCAGGAGGACATGTGGGACCTGAATGAGGTTGACAACACCGCCTATATCGGCCAGCGTTTTAATCATCACATGCAGAACGAGTTGGGTCTGGCTCGGATCCGATTACAGAATAAGTTAAAGAATAATCTGATCCAAAATCAAGAGAAAGAAGTGAAGGAGGATTCTCTAAGCGATCGCCTGGGGAAAGGTGTAAGTCAGGAGGTACTGATGATGGTGAGGCATTTTTCTCCCCAATTAATTTCATTTTCAACCTTTATTTTATTTTCAACAACAATACTGATTCTCTTTTAGGTTCACATATCTTGTTGTGTCCTTAAAGAATGTGCTTGCATATTTTACATAAGGAGGAAAAAGATAATATAAAGAAGAAGAAAAAGGAGAAAAACAAGAAGAAAATAGATTATCCAAAGTCATGGCTGGTTATCACCATTTACAAGACATTTAAATGGATTCTCTTTGAAGCTGCCTTCTTCAAACTTCTGCAGGACCTTCTGGCATTTGTTAGTCCTCAACTCCTAAAGTAAGTTAGATTTCTAGAAGTAATGTGCAGGTGGCCTTTGATTTAAGTAGCTAAGCTGCTCTCCTAACATCCTAACTGAATAGCATCTTAGTCGACTTTACCATAGGTTTTTTTTTTTTTTTTTTTTACTTTGTGGTCTTCCACTAAAACTATCTAAAGCAAACAGCTTTTCATTTTTAAAGATCACAGATGTTTCACTTTATAGTTTTTTTTCCCCCAGTTTTTGTATTCTGACATTGTGAAATTCTAAATATTGCAGGGTTTAACCATTTACTACTCATTGATTAGTTGAAATGTCAACTGATGAAAGGTCAGCTTCAGAAGAAAGTATACAGAGAAAATAGTACATTCAGTCGTATAATGTAATGATAATCATACATGATGGTTAATATTCTATTTTCTTGCTCAGGTTGATGATCTCCTTCACCAAGCAAAAATCCAGATATGCTTGGGAAGGATATTTGTATGCAGTGCTGCTGCTGGTGGTGGCTATACTGCAATCTCTGTTCTTGCAACAGTATGTTAAACGATGCTTCGTTCTGGGGATGAAAGTTCGAGCCGCACTTATGGCTGTGATTTACAAAAAGGTAACAATTATAACACAAAAACCTGCATTTGCAAAGTCTTATACTAGAGTAGTGAAGGTTTGCAAAATGAAGCCAAAGCATCATTCTTTAGATATATGTTGTAACTTTACCCTTTTATGACTTTATGTTACTTAGTTTTCAGTCATAAAGATTAGGACTGTCCGTCTTTTTCCTGTGAAAACATGTCTAATTAGCTCTGAGTTAGAATGACAGATCAAAGTTTAACCAACTTAAATCTGGGGCTGAACGATTTGCCAAAACTAAGAACAGAATTTTTTGCAACCAATATTGTGACTGGGAATTTCTGAAATCCAATCGGAGGACATTTCTAGCTAATAATCGATAATATGATCTAATAATCAATTTAGCTCATATTATCTTGTATTGATAATTAAAAAAAAACTAGAAGTGTCTCTGGGTTCAGGAAAAAGTGTGGGGGTGGCACTAGAGGGGTCAAGGGTGGTTAACAGGGCTTTTTCAATTTTGTGGAGCCTAGAGAGCTCTGCTGCCCCCTAAGGGGTGAGTGACATGAGGAAAAGGAAAAACTGTCTGCATCATAACGAAGCAGATTAATTTCTCCCACTAATGGGCTATGTGCTCAGTTAATTAGGTCCTTTTTTTTTTCTAGCCCTCTTTTGAGTTTTGCCTGCCCTCTGTTTTATTCTTCTAAGTTGATTTTTTCCCCCTTCTGTTTAACTGTTCTTTGATCAGTGTTCCTATGTTCCTCTAACCTGACAACAGCCAGATGCATGTCTAGGCGGAGCGAGACATGCATCTGGCTGTTGTCAGGTTAATGTTCCTCTGCTCTCATTCAGTCTTCTTTCTATCAGTGTCCATATCTTTTCACTCTCCTCTTCTATCAATCTGACACTATTCTAAAACAGTTACATAATATAATCACAATCTCTTAAAAAAAACATTAGAATGTACAACATGAAAACTTACAATTTAATTGTTGAAATACGATTTTTGTTTTACACAGCTATCCATCCATCTATCTATCTATTTTTTAACACGCTTATCCCGAGTGGGGTTGCAAGGGGTGCTGGTGCCTATCTCCAGCAGTAATTTGGGCATGAGGCATGGTACACCCTGGACAGGTCGTCAGTCCATTGCAGGGCAACACAGAGACAAACAACCATTTACACACACTCACACCTAAGGGGACTGTAGAGAAGCCAATTAACCTAACAGTCATGTTTTTGGACTGTGGGAGGAAACCGGAGTACCCAGAGAGAACCCATGCATGCTCAGGGAGAACATGCAAACTCCATGCAGAAAGACCCTGCGCCGGGAATCGAACCCAGAACCTTCTGGGTTTGATTCGATTCAGTGCTACCCACTGCGCCACTGAGCAGCTGTTTCACATAACTATTAGAAGTTATTCGGTTATAATCCCATCATGCATATTATTATTATCATGTCACCTGATTTAACACTAGAAATGCTCATTACCACAATATTTGTAGCTACAGTTTTCCTGTTATTGCCTCTAATGTGTTTCATGAGGAACTATATCAGATATCCAAACTGAGTAGTAGAAAAGCACACCTAAACCTGGAAGTCTATGTTCATAAATCACAACCATAAATCATCAAAACAGCTTTTACCGACTCTTCTTAAAACATCTAACTGTCCTAAAATATAAACTTATGGTCATCAATTAGTTCAAAACCATCTTTAGAAGAACTCTTGTTGATCCCTGAAGAACCACTGTGCCAGGAGTTTTCGATCATTCTGTTGCATTTTATCTGAGTCTCTTTTGCTTATGCCAGCTCCAACCCATGGTCTAATTTTTGTTGATTATCTTGGTTTATGTTACATTTTGGGCAGAGATGGGAAGTAACGAAGTACAAATACTTCGTTACTATACTCAAGTAGATTTTTCTGATATTTTTACTTTACTTTACTACTTATTTTTATGCCGACTTTTTACTTCTACTCCTTACATTTTTACACAAATATCTGTACTTTCTACTCCTTACATTTTAAAAAATTGGCTCGTTACTTTAGTTTTGAATCATTTCAGTGGAGTTACCGTTATTATTTTTCACGTCATCAATACCAAATTCAATCTAATTGGATGGGAATCTACGTTGCATTTGACGCACCACTACAAGATGAATCTACAGATTTGGAGGTATTCATTCGCGGCAAATCATTGCAGCTTGGTGGCGGTGGCGTTAGCATAGTAGCATGGACGACGAGATGATTGAAAATGAACACAACGGAGATCTAGTTCTATTGGCAGACATCCATTTAAAATGTAGGCAACGGCATGAAAAAAGTGGTTTCTACTTTTACTTTTATACTTTAAGTAAATTAACAAGCCTGTACTTTGTTACCTTTACTTGAGTAAAGAAGTTTAATCAGTACTTCCACTTTTACCAGAGTATTTTTTAACACAAGTATCTGTACTTTTACTCAAGTACAGAAAGTGAGTACTTTTGCCATCTCTGATTTTGGGTCATCATTTTTAGCAAGGCAAACAAATTGAAGCCATGTTTTCGGGGACAGCTTTATCTGGGGATAGGTGGTGCAAAACGGCGACTGTCTCTGGAAATCTGGGACGTCTGGTCAACGTATATTTAAATCCTTATTAAAATTTGCTCTTTTCATAACCTTATAGGCCTAATTTATAAATAATAGTTTCAAATATTTAAGCATTTGATCCCGCTATCGTGCGGTCAGCATGCATTAGCTACTTTTAAAACACAGTAAAACAGAAAACCAAAAAAATAAAAGCAGAAATCCAAAATGCTTAGCAGGATCCACGGGGGAAGGGAGAGAATTTAGAGTGCTAAAGCTTTATAGCAAGTTCTGCAGGGGGGCTCAGATGCTCTTTGAAGCGCTGTCCTTTTGGTAGTGTCATGCTTAGAAGGCAGCTAGTCTGCAAAGCGAACCTAGATCCCGTTCCACCAACGTTCAAAATGAATGTCATGGTTGTGACACAACAGATAGACAGAGAGATATAAATAGATAAAATGATTATACATTTGGATGAATATAAATTAAAAACATAGTTTTATTCTTCTATGCACTTTTAATTTAAAGCTTTAAAATAAAAATATGTTTTCCATTGCCCTCTTATCTTTCTTTGTCATCATCTTCATCTCTTTTCAAAGGCATTGGTGATGTCCAATGATAACCGTAAAGAGTCAACAGTCGGGGAAACAGTGAACCTCATGTCAGCAGATACCCAGCGCTTTAACGAAGTGACCAACTTTATCCACCTGCTGTGGTCCTGCCCTCTGCAGATCATTGTGTCCATTGTTTTCTTGTGGATGGAATTGGGACCTTCAACACTGGCGGGGCTTGCAGTAATGGTGTTATTGGTGCCAATTAATGGACTGCTGGCTACCAAGGCCAAAAACCTTCAGGTCACTCATATTCTTGGTATTTAATATAAATGTAGCTGGTGGCTTTTTCCTCATGACATAATGGAGTATTGTGTGTAAACGTATGAGTTAAGTTTAATTCAATACTATTTGGTAGAAGCTGTAAGGTAATTAAATGTGGTAAAAGTGAATACTTTCAAGTAGGGTTGTCAAAAGTATCGATACTCAAAAAAGTATCGATACTGAAACGTATCCGGATACAATACTCATTTTCAAAAGTATCGATACAGCCATCTAAAGTGCAGAATACTGGAAAATGCACTTTCTGAACACTGTGTGATTGAATAATTCTGTGCATTTTTCAGTTTCAGACTTTTTTTGTAACAGGTGCAGCTGCTGAGAAATATTTTTGTTTACCTGGTTTGGCTAGTGTCATTGTTATGTCTGCAAAACTTAGCCAAGGAAGGAACACTTAATTTTAATTTTGTATTTTTTTTTATCAAGCTTTGTTTAATATTGTGCACAGCATACAACCTCAAAATATTATTCTTATTGTTTTTTTATTTATTTCTTGTATTTTTTTAGTAATGAAAATATTTCTGTTGAATTTTAGAGTCTTTGTTTTTATTCTTGTGGTATCGAAAAGGGTATCGAGTATCGAATATTTTACGTAGTATCGGTATCGAGTTGAAAAGTTTAGTATAAGTTTAGTATCGTGACAACCCTACTTTCAAGATACGCTGTAAGTAATAAGGGTTTCTATGGAACAATAGAAAAAAACTGTATGGAGTCTCTTTCTGTTTTTCCTCTGCATCGAAATCTCCCAAAAAATCTAAAGGAGATAAAGCCTATTGTTATTAGGTTCTTTGGCACCGATTCTTAGTTTAATGGTGCTATCTGTAGATGTTCAGCTTACTTCACTAATTGATTCTGATTCCAGCTTAAGTGGTATATTTGATCTGCTTTCAGACAGAAAACATGAAGTCCAAAGACAAGAGGTTGAAAATAATGAATGAATTGCTCAATGGAATCAAGGTATTCTGCTTTTATAATAATGTTTTCAGATCTGCTGTGCCCTTACTGACAGATTTAGATAATCTGGTACAGTCTATTTAGGTCCTCTTCATCCTTCATCTATTTTCAGACAATTAAACTGTTTGCATGGGAGCCATCTTTCCAGACCCAAGTTGAAGATATCAGAGGAGAAGAACTGAAGGTGATGAGGAAGTTTGCCTATCTAACATCCTTCTCAACCTTCATCTCCAACTGTGCCCCAGCTCTGGTGAGTTAGATATCTGCAAAGTGAAAAAGGCCTGTTATGGTCCATGATGTTTTTTGTTAACGTTTGCTCTCTTTTTTGGGGGGGGAGTTCAGGTTTCTCTCGCTACGTTTGCTGTGTTCGTTGCTGTGAGCTCAGACAACATGCTAACTGCTGAGAAAGCCTTCACTTCAATCTCTCTATTCAACATCCTTAGAAATCCACTAAGCATGCTTCCAATGCTCATTGCTTCCATTGTGCAAGTAAATAATGTTGCAAGTGGTTCATAAGCACAAGTAAGAGTTGAAATAAAATCTTTTATAACCTTTTTTTTTTTTTACACTTTAGACAATAGTATCCAAAAAGAGACTAGAGAGGTTTCTTGGAGGAGATGATCTTCGCAATGACATTGTGCGTCATGACCCTAGTTTTAGTAAGTTACTCATTATTCACTCATTAATGTGTGATGTAGGCAATAACGATCACTAAATGGTATGGGAATATGACTAGGTGATTCCTTTTAATCTGTATCTATATCTTTGTTCTGCAAGACTCTGCTGTCAGCATATGTGATGGTTCCTTTGCCTGGGAAAAAGACTCTGAGCCTCTACTTAAAAAGTATGTTGTGTTAAGTTTAAAAGCTGTTCTCATTAATTTTATAGCATATTGCCAAAAAAGGCTTGAAAGTTACTGTATATTGTGGTGTTACTTTACTTTATCTTCCTTCTTAGCGTGTCACTGGACATTAAGCCTGGTGGGCTGGTGGCTATAGTAGGAGCAGTGGGCTCAGGAAAATCCTCACTTTTGTCAGCTCTTTTGGGAGAGATGCATTGCACCAAAGGTTTCATTAACATCCAGGTAATACTTTGTTCCTGTCTTCATGTCGCACCCCAATTTCCCCATTTTTCGACAATAACGTTTTTTTTTCCTATTCTATTACTTAAAGCTAGTGTGTAATAATTACAGGGATATACAGTCAGAAATGTAATATATTATACATAACTATGTTATTTATCATCATCTACGAGCTCAGCCTCTTAGCCTTAATATTTGTGTTGCCTTAGAATTCGTTATTTATAATTACATAGGAGCGGGTCTCGCAGCCATGGAGGCAGACATCTTTGCACTACGGCAGCGCAGAGCCAACAAACTAGCGATTGCGAGATCGCCCATTACGCTCGAAAGTAACTACGGCAAGTTGAGAGAGATGAACTGAGACGGTACTGAACAATACTGTAGATGGCAGTAGACTAATGAAATACTATCTGTAAAATTATCTATGTAAACAAACCTCATCACTTGAGAAGGTAGGTGATGCGGACGTCGTGGAAGACATTTTGTCCCGTAACGCTCGCCGTACTGTTGGGGGGGAGAAGCGGTGGGGGGGAGATGTTCATGTTGCTGCGGTCTGCAGTCTGGGGGTTAGATGTCGCTGAAAATTACACACTTAAGCTTTAAAGAGGCATTCTGGAGTTTTCTAATGATACTGCCACCCGTGGCCAAAATACAGAACTGCAGAATCTTCGACTAATTCTCTTAGTTTACTGTATATACATAAATAATATATGGTAAAAAAGAGGCTATTTTAAAGATTTTTAATTGTAAAAGCTTAATTTCTCTTTAAGGTGAAATAATTGTAGTTATTTTAATTGCTAATTTTCTTCCAAATAATGAATATAAATGTTGGTTGGTAGGCTACTGAAGACTGCAATGTTTTACCTTAAGATTATTTCTATAATGCCTGGGTTACCTTTGGTGTCACTCAGAAAAATTATCAAGATTGGCTCATTACAAGAATACTACAAATCAAATTAATTCAATTCAATCTAATTGAACTGGTGTGCCGTCTTGGCCAGGTCTCCCTCGAAAAAGAGATTTCAATCTCAAGGGACTTCCTGGTTAAATAAAGGTTAAAGAAAAAAATAATAATAATAAAATAAAATGAATAAGGCAGACATAAAAGTTAGCTTTTTGCTACAGTCTGGTGAAAACTACAGTGGATGACAGTAGTCAGGTAAAAAGCTATGGTGGCTTTCAAGGTGGCAATCCATCTACTGCTATAAGTGGAAATAAATTGGCAGGTAGTAAACTGCTCACATAGGAAAGGCAATAGCAATGTATTAGTCTACCTATTATGGAAGAACTATGAGATTACAGGCTGTAGTACGACACTTTAATTAGTGATTGACCTAAGAGTGTACAGACCAACAAATGTTGATTACTTAATCCAAAAGAAAGGTAAATTATTAAGCACATGCAATACACAACATTTAAAATAAATATCCATTTCCATAATACATGGATAATTTGGCAAAATCTTTCTGAGATGTTTACAGAACTCCATCTATCCATCTTCTCCTTCTTATCCAATCTTTCCATCTTCAGCAGTCTATGGGCAAATATTAAGTTTTTTTGTTTTGATTTTTTTTCTTTTTCCACCCAGGGCTCCCTTGCATTTGTACCACAGCAAGCCTGGATCCAAAACGCCACTCTGCGTTATAACATCTTGTTTGGCTCTCCCTATGAAGAAAGGAGATTTCAGGAGGTACTGGAGGCCTGTGCTCTTGGCCCTGACCTTAAGCTGCTTCCTGCAAGAGACCTTACTGAGATTGGAGAAAAGGCAAGTTTTTTATTTTTTTTAAATTAGAATTTAAACAATGTTAGAATTGTCAGCACAGTTGTATTTTAAATGGCTGTCATATGTTGTGGATTTATTCTTAGGGTATCAACCTTTCAGGAGGTCAGAAACAGCGTGTCAGCTTGGCCAGAGCAGTTTACAGTGAGGCTGATGTTTTTCTATTAGATGACCCCCTCTCTGCTGTGGACTCTCATGTTGGAAAGCATCTGTTTGATAAAGTTATTGGACCCAACGGACTTCTTAAAAACAAGGTTAAATGTTCAATGTACTATATTTTTCTACTATATACCTCAGAAGATAAGTTGGTGTCTGAACTGTGTAGCATCTCCATCATATTAAACTAAATACCGAAGTGGTTAAGTATGCAGACTTGTTATGGAATGTGCTTTTGTCTTCACAGACTCGTATCTTGGTAACACATGGTGTCAGTTTCCTTCCTTACGTAGATGAAGTTGTGGTTATGGTGAATGGACAAGTTTCCGAAGTTGGATCCTACCAGATCCTCCGTGCCTCTAAAGGAGTTTTCTCTGAAGTTCTAGATGCATATGCCAAAGAGCAAAGTAATGACAGAAGTTCAGAGGAAGGTAACCACATGAATTTTCATCCTATATCAGCAATGTAAAAAATAGACAAGATAATATAAATGTTTGATCATTGCCCGTCAAGAGGAACATCTTGATACAGAAGACTCTGAGCTCTGCCCTGACACAGAGGAGAGTCGGCTAGTCTTCCGTTTGGAGGATCGTGTTTCTCTTGCACTAAGGAGAGAAAACAGCATCAAACGGAATCAGAGAGGAAAAAGAAGCAGGTTTGATTCAACTTTGATGTAAAAAAGCTAAGAATGACTGTCCACACTGTAAATTATTTTAATTTGGATATCGGTAAGACAGAGCAACGACTATGATGGTCTCACATCTTAGGCCTTGACAAGGTTCTTGGTACAGTTTTAAGGGGAACGCTGTTTTTTTTACATTGGGCCCTTAATTTTACGTTATTACATCATGTTCTACTCACCCATATGAGTTTTGTGTCATTTGGAGCTGTTCTGAAGATATTCCGTTAGATTATATCCAAGTAACGTCTTCCTATGGGCAAACGACATGAAGGCACAAACTAAACTGTTCATAATTTATGATTTATGGTACTCCAGCATTCATAACATGTGGGTGAATCACTGTCCCCCAGACATCCGCAGTAATATTTTTTATATTGATATCTTTTAAAAACAAAGCGGAGTGTGTATGACTATATTTAAGTTGTTGATGGTTATGATGTTGTGTTTATTCCTCTTTCCATTTTGCAGTTTCAGATTAAGGAAAAACAGAAGTTTAAAAACACCTGAAAACACAATGAAAGGCCAGAGGCTAATTGAGAAGGAGACAATGGAAACAGGGCAGGTATAAGTGCTGTAAACCTAATTCTACTATATTTTAAGGATGTTTGTATTTTTGTATTTCTACACTAACCTCCACTGACTCCTTTTTTAAGTTCATAATGACACCTGCCTAAACCGTTAGCAGCTAAATCTGCTTTAGTGTCCTTGTTTTATTTATAGCTTATCCAGTATGGCATAATTTATTTGTATTATTAGCAAATGTCTTGTAGATAAGTGATATAACACAGAAACCCCTAATAAGGACACAAACATAAGGTAACGTAAATACTGCAAACATCAAGGATCTAGTTGGAGCTAAAAAGATGGACAAAGTGAGTCTAGCTCACTGACTAAATGCTAATTGTTTGAAAACTCAAGTATTAGGTAAAAAATAAAAATAATAATGGATTACTTTTCTGCCTCAGGTCCTGTACAACATGACATTAAGTTTCAGTCTGTCTCCAGACTTAATTAGACTGAATTCTGGATTTAATTTCAATTCAGATGCTGTCGTTTCACAAAAGGCTTTTAATATATGCTTCAGTAACTTCCGATTAATGCAGTTCTGCAATGAAGATTATGGCAAAAATTATTTTTATTGCAAAATAAAAGGAAGTTTTTGATGGCTGTAATCACAAAGCTAATTATTTTTCACATCGGCACACATAAATATTGGTAATTATTTTAATTGGTTTAAAGGTAATAACTTCTTCATCTTGCTTCTTTTATTTTGATAAACATTATTTACAACCTACTTTTTGTATTTACATTTTACAGGGTTCGTACACCATCAAATATTACTCCTCTGCCATGGCGTAGTAA